GTATCATTAGTTTGCTCCTTTTCATTAATGAATAGTGCTATTCCATTTTGTGGGAGTACCACAGTTTGTGAACCATTCACCACTTGAGGGATATTTAGTTATTTTTAGGTTTTCATGATTACAAATAAGTCTTCTATAAACCTCTCTATGTAATTTTTTGTTTGAATATTGAAGTTTCACTCATTTGGGCTAAATACTCAAGGAAGGAGATTGCTGGACCATATATTAAGTGTACGTTTAGCTTGACAAGACACTGCCAAACTATTTTCCAAACTGACTGTGCCATACTGTATTTTCACTGAAATATATGAGATGCGGCCAGGTGCGGTCGCTCATGCCTATAATCCCAGCACTTTGGGAGGCCGAGGCAGGTGGATCACCTGAGGTCAAGAGTTCAAGACCAGACTGACCAACATGGAGAAATCCTGTCTCTACTAAAAATGCAAAATTAGCCAATCGTAGTGGCGCATGCCTGTAATCCCAGTTACTAAGGAGGCTGAGGCAGGACAATCGCTTGAACCTGGGAGATGGAGGTTGCGGTGAACTGAGATCACACCGTTGCATTCCAGCCTAGGCAAGAAGAATGAAACTCCGCGCCAAAAAAAAAAAACTCAAACCAGAATTGCTCCACTTTTATCTATTATATATTGGTGTTCCACAAACATCTATTTTTGTAGAACATATTTCTCTGATTTAAAAGAATAAAAGTGTTAGCTGGGTGTGTTGGCATAAGCCTGTTGTCCCAGTTCTTGGGGAGGCTGAGGCAAGAGAATCACTTGAGCCCAGGAGTGAGAGGCTGCAGTGAGCCCTGATCATACCATTGTACCCCAGCCTGAGCAACAGAGTGAGATCCTGTCTCAAAATAAACAAATAAATAAAAGCGATTTTGAAAAAAGATAAGATTAAATTTAAAAAATAAAAACGATTTTGAAAGCACTTATCTAAATAAGAAATACAATGCATTTATATTTACCTTACAATATAGAAAATAAAATATATATTTGAAAAAAGTAATGCATTTTTATTTCAGAACTATTGTCTATTATTGGAATAAATAACGGAAAAAAAGTATTCAGAAAAGATTTTTTTGAAGGTTGTTTTTAATAGTTTGGCGTCCTGTTAGTGGCTACTTTTTAGCTTTGAAGTACATGTATACTAATTCCTAAACTAAAATTGGTGCTATCTGTTTCAGAGTTATTTTGGGGACCTAATTAGGAGCCTTCTATCAACTGGACACTACTGAGCCCCATGGGAATAAGGATGTGTCTGAGAACTTCAGATTTGCCACAGTCTAGTAGAAATAGTCACATCTGTCTGTGAAAAGTATTTACACCAAATCCTTTAGCAGCAGCACAGAAACAGACATCTGCTATACAATGGAGTTGGGTGAAAGGGGTGGAAATGTGGAGGTTCAGGTAATATTAATAACCCTAGCATTGGCTGGGTGTGGTGGCTCACACCTGTAATCCCAGCACTTTGGGAGGCCGAGGCAGGCGGATCACCTGAGGTCAGGAGTTCGAGACCAGCCTAGCCAGCATGGTGAAACCCCATCTCTACTTAAAATACAAAAATTAGTTGGGTGTGGTGACAGGCGCCTATAATCCCAGCTACTCAGGAAGGTGAGGCGGGAGAATCGCTTGAATGCGGGAGGCGGAGGTTGTGATGAGCCAAGATCACACCATTGCACTCCAGCCTGGGCAACACACTGAGACTCCGTCTCAAAAAATAAAAAAATAAATAGGCCGGGCGCGGTGGCTCATGCTTGTAATCCCATCACTTTAGGAGGCCGAGGCGGGCGTATGACCAGGTTAGGAGCTTGAGGCCAGCCTGGCCAACACGGTGGAACCCCGTCTCTACCAAAAATACAAAAATTAGCTAAGTATGGTGGCAGGCGCCTGTAACCCCAGCTATTCGGGAGGCTGAGGCACAAGAATCACTTGAACCCGGGTGTGGAGTTTGCAGTGAGCCGAGATCGTGCCACTGTACTCCAGCCTGGGCGACAGAGCTAGACTCAGTCTCAAGAAAACAACAACAACAAAACCTTTAGCATTGATTGAGCTTCTCTTATGAGCCAGGTAGAGTGCAAGGCTCTGGGAGACCAAAGGTGATTGAAACCTACCTGGCCATTGCTGTCATAGAACCTGCTAATTGAGGAGATGAAATTACCCTAAGATTCCAAATATGTACAGAATTACAGATTCAAATGATTTTTTCTTAAAAGGACTAGAGTGAGAGAATGACAAGAGGAATCGCTTTTAGGGTTACTCTTAAGAAATGCATTTAAGCTTGGCCGGGCGCGGTGGCTCACACCTGTAATCCCAGCACTTTGGGAGGCCGAGGCGGGCGGATCACGAGGTCAGGAGATCGAGACCAT